CCCCAAAACCCCAAAACCCCAAAACCCCACTTACCCATAATTAGAGCATTTTTTTATATATCTGAATTTTTTAAAGTGTAATAGTTATTGTCCAATTAAATTAATCATTAAGTAAATATATTTCTCTACGCTCTTTTATAAAAAAGTTGACTTTCTTGCTTAAGTTTAAAAATTTTGTCTCTTAACTATTATTTCATTTTCTCTGAGACCATAGTTTCGTTTCTAATTCGGTCTTTATCAGATTAGCAATTAGTGATCTCTTTATTAAGTCTCTTCACGATTTCCTTCAGCTGATGAACTAATTATCTCTCCTCAGAGATTCGACTTTAAAGTTCATTTTTTCTTATATCAGCTTGCTGTTTCATTATATTAGCTGTGAGAAATTCCTTTCTACAAACTTCTAACTCTTTATTCATTAGTAAATTTTGATTTGCAGTTCTCTAAATGTGGTTATAGGATAGGTTATACATGATTTAAAGATGATAACTTTTTAGATTGCTAATCAAATTTTTCACAGTGCTATCTCAATTATCTGTTGACAATGTCAACTCTAAGCACTTCTTACTTCAATAACTCGATTTATTGCTTTAACTGAGATTTCTCGAATTGTTTTGCTTCTATCATCTATAATTCATTTATATTAGCATTGATATTATTACCTACCTGATTATATACGCTTAGATCTTTAGTTGATTTGGAGAGATGAGAAGAGTATGCTGGCACCTAGAGTGATTTCATTTAACTTCTCAAGTTTTAGGACCTAGAATCGTTATTATATTCTCCGAAGTGTGCATTTGATTTCTCTACCTACTCATGGCTTATTGTTCCAAACCTTTGATTACTTTTTGATTTTTTCCTATGATAATTTAGATATTTTTGTAATTCTCAATCTTACTTATTTGATGTTATATTTGCAGAAAATGGTCTTTTATTGGCTATATTGATGTACTAATTCTATATGGAAGATTATCCTGGGTTTTAGGTAAATGATCCAGCTCCAAAAGAAGGGGATATAGGTGAATAAGTGTCATAGCCATTTGCCGTTTAGTGATCATTAGAAATCTTATTGTTAGTATTTTTAGTCGTAGACTTTTTAGCAGACTAGGGTCTCTTTTAACTCAGTTTCATTACTTTTATTTTTAAATAAACTAAATTATTACAAAATAATTAAACTAAAATGATAGTTAATGAAAGCATCAATTAGGCTATTGATCATCTAAATATTATATTAGGAGATTAATCACCTAAAAAGTATAATCCAGGCTATTAGATCCCACCAGGAAATTTCATTGATCTAGGAATATAATCTGGTTTAGAAAGATTACAATCAGTATAAGATCAAATCACATATCTAGATAGTCTGCTATCAGATTATAGGCCATCATAAGAGATGAATTAAATGACTAATAATTCACTTTTAAATGACTCAAGATCTTCAAGCTTGAATTATTAGATTGACCCCGCCTCATTGAAATTGTAACCATAAAATAGTGGTAGCTCATAATTTATGATTCGCAGCTTTTCAAAGCAATCAGCAAGTGACTATCGTAATGGCAGATTCAGAAATGACGAGAGCATTCTGAAAGCTTTTGAAGATTCTAGAATGCTCGTAGAAATGTCAATTAATCATTCTCTTGGAACAAATATTCAAAGGTCAATTTAGCCATCAGGTAAATTATCGAGAGAAAGCAGTAAAGAGTCATAAAACTTAAGAAGTCCATATAATGATATACATTTTATAGAGAACAGTGACATTTTCAACATGAATCTTCCATTCCTTAGAGATAATAGTGACAATCAAGATACTACGAATGATGTTTCTACAACTTATAGAAATCACACATTTAATATGAGAAACATAAAAAACTCAGCTAAGAATTTATCAAGACTAAGTTTAAGCAAGAGTCAATCACGCTCTAGATCCAAGGATAAGGATAAAAATAAATAAAAACGATAAGATCCTTTGATGGATGTGCAAGGAAAACAATCAGCTCATATCCACCAGCATTTGGAATAGATGCAAAATAAAATGTGAGAATAAGAGGAGAAGTTAAACGAAAAGACTTTGATAAAGCTGTCAAGATTCCTGAATAGACATGAGGATAATTCAGTTGACCTAAATGGAAATGAATATGATGGAAACAATAATCGCATTTAATCAAGGAGCAAATATAGTAATGCTTCTAAAAGTGGTTCTAAGGAGAAATCAAATGTAAATAAAAACAGTAGAAGACCTCCTTATCAGCAATAACTTTTGAATAAGTCTAGATAGATTGAAGATTAAAAGTCAAAAAGTAGATCTTAGACTAGAGAGCTTATAAAGAATTTGTTATTGAGAGATCCAAGTTAAGAGAAAATGTAAAAAATAGTGCCAATATATGAAAGATCTAATGAGTTTCTTAGAAAGAAAAATGAAAAGATTGCTAAACTTAGATAGATAAAGTAATAGTTAGAAGAAGAAGAGGAAAAAAAATTATTTGAAGAAATAGAAAGTAGACGATCAAAATCAAGATCCTCAAATTCTAGATTGAGCTATATGTCAGGTACATAAACTTCAATGCGATCCTCATCTAAAGGAGGGTCTCCTTTCAGAGAGAAGAGCCGACATAAGTATGAATAGGACCAACTAATCAATTTGATTTTCCATCCATAAATTAGTAAAAATTCTAGTAAGTTAATAAAAAATAAGAGAGAAAATGATGGATTCAAATATATAAGAGAACTTAATTAAGTTGTCTATGATCCTTAAAGACATGCAAACATTTAAGATAGATTCAAAGAGCATGAAGAGTATAGTAAAATATTACAAGAATTATTAACTGAAAAGGTTATCTAATAAGAAACACCGTTTAAACCACAAATTTATAACAAAAAAATATGAAATTATTAAATATTGTACTTCTTTCACTTAACAATTATTTTTAATTGAGATTAATAGGTTAACCATCTTGATTGTAGTTATTATGAAAACGTGGGGTTTTGGGGTTTTGGGGTTTTGGGGTTTTGGGG